TTCATAACACAGTCTTTGTACGAATCATACAAGACAACAAGAGCCTAGGTGTTGAGGCCTCGGGACTTGTTGTTGATTATTGGGGTTTCCACTAATAGGCCCTAGCGGATTTGTCTTGTCTTGCTCGGGACTGAAGTCCGGATCTTTCTATCCCCTATGTAGTAGAGAGCCGAGGCGAAGCGTGGATGAGAGAATTCAGCGCCTTCAAGATAAGCAACTTGACGGGGGACCATTGTAGTTGCATGTGTTCGAGGCAAGGTAGAATTATCCAGGGTTGCCCTCTTCGCCCACTGAGAGCATGGCACCACCGCCACCGCCGCCGCCGCCGCCGCGACCGCAACCACCGCAGCCACCGCAGCCACCGCTGCTGCCGCCACCACTGCCACCACCGCCACCACCACCACCACCGCCTCCACCACCGCCACCACCGCCGCGTCCGACGACGCCACCCCCGACCCCCGCCACCGCCGCCGCGGCCACCACCACCACCGCCACCGCCACCGCCACCGCCACCACCACCACCGCCGCCGCCGCCACCACCGCCACCACCGCCACCACCAGTACTGTACAACAACAAAAAGAACAAGAACAATAACAAGAACAGGAAGAAGAAGAAGAACATCCTCCGGGATATAAGAAAAGGATGGGGACCGTGCATGACAGGCGTCAATTTCACTAATTTCCTGCCAGTAGATCTAGTTGCCCTTTGCTCCATCCAGTCGCGTACAATGCTTGGACAGAAGCACTCCGTGCAAGCTTGCTTAGGCTTACGGATTCACGGGTACATGGGCGGCACATGCATGGAAGGCTCACAGACAGCATGCGTCAGTGCCTGTCGCACCGGTCTACACAACAGCTAGGCAGCCCTATGCATGCGTCCACGCTCTATTTTGCTGTCCAATTTGCCGCGAGACTAGGCTGGAGCAGCTCCTACATGAACGCGCTCATGGGTCGGCAGTCGCAGACGCTCACTGATGACCCTGTTGGTGCCTCTTTTTTACATATTTTACATTGTTTGACGTTCTAGGAAAAATGAGTTCAGCTTCCGTTGTGAGGGAGGCAGCAGCGGACAAAGCAGCTGCGGCATCCCAGCTTTTCGCTTTTGGGGTGTCTGCAAAGTACCTTGGTACAAGTTAATGAATGCAATGCGTTTTCCACAGCTACCGTCTCACCATTGCATTGCCAATGAAGCTGGGCCAAACCTCGGGCGCCTTAGCTGGGGATAGTTGAGGCCGAATTGCGTCGGCGCATGCGAAAAATGTGTTGTTGCGGTGTCGTTTTTGCATTGGACTCGGCCAGGCATCAGGCTTGAGTGAGGATTAATTCAGATTTAGATTTTCCGCATGTCTTGGATTGTGGTGCGTGCCTTGCGCCGCTGTCTTTCATGATCTTCTGCATTATGTAGGCCAAAGTCTGCATTCGACACTGGCACGAACTTTTCTCCTGGCTTAGGTGAAGATGTGTCCGGGCAAAAAGAGCAAGAAGAACCTCAGGCACCCGTTGAACCTGTATAGATTGCTGCTAAGTCAGCCACCCTCGCCGAGAAGTCGCTGCGTGGTTGGAGAAGTGCAGCTTTCGTTTAAGTAGCTCGCAGCCAATCCGTACACTCAGACATAATTTGGGAAGTGAAGTCAGTTGGTTTTTTTTTCCACGGAGAGAGAGAGAGAGTGAGGTGCATACAGGATGTGCAGTTCTCCTCAGCAAGTGCAGCTCTGCAAGGTCCTGATGGACTTGCACCCATGTACAGTCTATAAAATAAATCCTCCTGCAACTGACAGGGTGATGGTGGCGGAATGTTCGACTTTGATGAGATTGAGGACACATTGAGCAGTTTGTGAACTGTCAGACGGCTTGAGTTTCTCTCCAGGAAATTCAAGCATTGTGCAGGCTGATGCGGCTCGGGAGCCTACTGACAGCGTGCGGAGCCTGATATGCTTCCCCGGGTCTAAAGACAGCTTCGGATTGTCAATGTGCCGAGGCACAGGCGGCAGGGACTGTACCTGTGGAGGTACGCTTCATGCTGCAAGGCCCGCATTCGCAAATCAGTCGGGAAGAGGGAGAGAGAGAGCCATTTTGGCTCAAGTCTCCTGCCTGCTCCATCTAAGTTGGGGAATTGCTGAGCGCCAGCCCGGCCCGACCTTGAGGGGGTTCGGCCCTAGGGAGGGCGGGTGGACGAGTGTCTCAGCGGGGTCCTACATCCTTTACACACGCGCAACCTCTGGAGAGTTACGTCGATTTCCCGCGTTAATATTTTGAACATTGTCAAAGATGAGTCTAAATGGTCAAACCCAGAAGAAACTAAAAGTCATAGCAGGGCAACTGCTCGTATTGCATCCAAACCGACGGGCCGTCAATGGCCAAATTTGCTTCTGTTCCTCATGCGCAGCCGCTTCTTTTCGGTCATGCGCACCCAAAAAGCTGAGATCTTGCCCTTTCTGCAAGTGCTCTTGCAGCAAAAGCCTGATTTGGCACTCATGCTCCCTGCTCCTAGTCGATCATCTGCCCGCTCCATCCTTACCTTTCTCCATTCCTGCAATGCTATACTACATGCAGTTATGCAGTTCCTCAATTGGTCAACTGCAAGGACTTGGTCTTCACCATGTTTTCTCTTAACTTCTAGGGTCACCATCTCCTGTTGCTCAGATATTCGTGGTTCCAGTTCCTGTCCGACTTTGCAAAGTGGTCTGCGGTCTCATGTTAGCATGCCACTTCCTTACTCTGCACTTCAGATCTGCATCCTCTCCTACCGTTCAAAGCTCTTCCTCCTCCAGTAGGTGCCGGGCTTGGAAATGTCCTTGGTATGGGGCAGTTTCTCATCTTCTGACGAGTTTGGATCTTGCAGGTTGCTGTTGGTAGCCTCTGTGATGGTTCAGCTCGTCATGCTGACCTCCTTCATCGTATTCCCGGCTGGTCCGCCAGGGTTCCCCCCGCTTGGTGCTGACTTCGTCACTGTCCTCGTCCACCAATCTTCGTCCGCGTCTACAGTACTCTCACCAGTTCCATCACTCTTGTCCTCCTGCAGTTGTCTTCCACCTCGCTGCCGGCTTCCCTCCTCAGACTTCCTTGGCCACGGGGGTCCTCCCAAAGGATCCTTGCTTGAGGTCTTTGCTGCACCATCATCTTTTTCTTTATCATTGCCTCGAATTGTTTCGCACCGATAGGTAGGCCCTGGCCGATGACCCTTTGTGGTGTAGCACATGTGTGCATGTGAGGATGAACATGTATC